TATCTAATATATTTCTGAATTTCGAACAGAAAATTTTTGTTTTTTTTTGAAGAGGATGAAGGTGTGGGCGTTGGCCTACTCTTCACACCCACCCACACCCACACCCCACAACCAAGCTCACACCCACCCACACCCACACACCCCTTTACAGCTGATATATGCAATATTCTTCAAAAGAGTGTTTATCTGATAAGAAAAACGACGAGAATCAAACAAATGACACGACGAAAACACAAAGAGAAGATATAGGTTTCGTCATGATAAAAATGTAAGAAATGAGTTATTTGAAAAACAATTGTCTAACCGTGTGAGAAGTAAACAAGTCTATTCAACAACAACAACAACACACCATTCTGTGGTCCACAACGTTTCGACTTCAGTTACTTGACTCTAGTGAGTAAATTATTAGGATGATTGGAAAAGGAAAAGAAACTATTTTGAATATTTTCTGCATATTGCTAAGCCGTTGCGAGTCTTGGCGCTACTTTGGAAAAAAATAAAAGTGATACTTATAGTCAATTATACTCTACCTGATTGATTTAAAACTGTAGATTAGTTATTATTTTCATTTATTTAGTATTTTGCAATTTTTCTCTCCAATTCTATTCTCTTCATAATTTTCAGTTACTAAAGATATGAGAAACTGAAATGAATATAATGTAACTGTGAGTTGAACGAGATGAAGTAAGAAAAAGAACATAAAGAAGTAATTGATTTCAAGCCAGAATTTCAGTAATAGTGAAAAGTGCCTTATCGTCAACCAATCTACACAGATAAAGAACGACAATGTCAATCAGAGAGCAATGTGACAGAATTAGAGTAACAATATTAGTTAGTCTTGAAGTATTAGTGCTAATGATTTTAACACGATGTCTGTCTACAGTTACAAGCTATACAACAAACTACGTGATTGGCAGCAGAATAGTTGAACTCATATAGATATCCTTACAACAGTGCAATGAAAAAAGTCAGCACACGAACTATTGTGTCCATATCGAGCTGAAGAGCATTAAACAACTCGCAATCATAAGCCATGACAGAGTTTACAAGCTTTGACTACTGATCGTTTCGACTAAGAGTTCTTAAACAGTATCAAATTGCGTAGAAGTAGTTCAGACTTGCATAAATACCTTAGGCAGGTAAGCAATTGTATATAAGAAGCGAGATGTCAAGAAAAAAGTGGTTGAGTATTTTTTTTTTGAATAAATGACGAATAGATTGAGTTAGAGACGTTTAGTTTTCAGCACTGAAAAGAGGAGATGAAGACGCTTGGAACCATATATAAAAACAATTTCCTCGATACTTTCCTAATAATTTTAGTCAAACGTTTTCAAAAAATTATTTTTTCTCATACGTTCAAAAATCGATTTTTCGCCACAAAAAAAAAACTTGAATTTTTTGAGTATTTTGTGGAAGAAATTGGGTGGTAAATTGCATTCCAATGGCTAGGATATCTTACTCGTAGTGGTTAGCAATAGAATTTTCGAATAATTTTGTAGCTCACCAATCGATAGTTCGAGCACACTGCTGCAAATCGAAAAACTAACATCGCGACTATAAGAGGCATGCTGTTTTTCTAGAAGCTTTTTGTAAAACTGTTTCGAAAGTGGTCAGAAAACTGTTTTCATATACTGCTCAATGCATCATCATCTGCTCGTTTCTATGCTGAAAACCACATTTTTCTAGCTCAATCCATTCAAAAATTATTCAAAAAATACCCAGCTACTTTTTTTTTTGAAATAGACATTAGTTTTGTTGAAACGATTTTATAAAAAGGCTTCATGATTAAAAATTCGAACAAAACACATGATAGGTCCAACAACAAATCTGCATACTAGGCATGTATTAGAATCAATAGAAATAGTGCCTTTTTCTGAGACATCGTTATGATTACATACAAAAAAAGATGAAGTCAATAATCCAGCTAGAATAGTTATAGATCAGAATTCTTTTATCCTATTTCTCAAAAAACGTTCAGATAGCATTTCTCTCATTTTGAAATGCAATCATCACATATTTCTAGAATTATGTATGCTTTTTTTCTGTCAAAGCTGTGTGTGAAGTTCTTTTTTTGTTTTACATATAAAAACTTTGCATTATTCTATGAAATAAGTTAGACAACGATAGTGCATTAGTTGATAGAAATTGTAATGAAACTTATGAGAGCTTGATTTTAAAAAAGACTACCAATCAGAAACTTCCGCATCTCACTATTCGTAATCGTTATAGATGACTGGGGAGTTATCTTCTACCGAAGCAACTGCGACCGAGTTCATAATAAACTATCGTTTTAGTTAAGATAACTCTTACTTTCTTTTCAATTTCTAAAAACAAGTGTAATTAGTGACAGAATCAAAATTGTTTCCAGACAATTACCTGCTTAATATCTTAATCATAGACTAAGCTCGTAATATTTTTTGTTTTCCTTTTAGATTTCAATACGCTTCAATCGTGACATTATTAGCTCTACGATATGCCATCCAAAAAACCACGTACGCACATATCTTTCTTCTAAACGTTTGATCACTTACGCAATCTATACTTGGATTATTTCCTCACTCACATGTACTCCTTTACATAAATACCGATTGCCTTCGATGTGTATAAGTGATAAACCTAACAAGAGCTGGGATCCCTTCGCATACCTATACTACGATGAAATCACGATTAGAAGGAACTAGATCAAATATTAGTCGATAAACTATACCATCGAAAAACATACGAGCTTATATTTTCATTGAATTCGAAATCAGTATACATTGCTTTATGTAAAAAGTTATCAGTTACCTCATGACATCATACACAGACAGGTTCAACATCATACATAATTAGGAGAATCAAAAATCATTAACAATTTCATTTAAATGGTTATTCTATGTGTTTTTATTGAAAAGCTCACATCGATTGGATTGTTCTGAATTGTTAAATTATTTTCTATATTCTTGTCTTTATCTAACAAGTCAATTTTTACTAAATTGTACATGACTGGATGAGCTAGTCTTTTTTGAATGATGAATTTATCGTCATTTGTATGATGTAACATCGGTGTTACAATGTTTTTAATATTATTTTAATATCATGATTTGATCGTTAAATATAGCATTTATACAAATAGAAGCTTTGAAAAACATGCACAAATGTATTCATCTCATTTATTCTTTCATAGAATAATTTGCAATTTGATATTTTCATTGCCGCTTTTCTTTTCTTTGTTTTTAGCTATCATAAAGTGTTCTAATAAATGTTCTATCAAAGCTGAAATTTGGTGCAAGAACTGCAACAATAGTTATTGTTTGAAATGTAGTAATACTGTTCATGCAAAACCGGCTTTGCAGACACATGAAAGAATGTTCATTGATCAAAAACATTGGGAACCGATGCGATGCAAAATACATTCAGATGAAAAAGAGAAGTATTGGTGTTACAAATGTAAGAGAAAAATCTGCTACAACTGCCAATTGACTGATCACCATGACCATAGCATTGTAAACATTATTGACATTGTGAAAGATGTAGAAGAAAAGGTCAGCACTTGTTAATGTCTCTATTTATTTCATAAAGCAGTTGTCGATAAAATTTAGTTGAAGGGTGACCTTAACAGCGTACAATCATTGATTGAGGAAGCTTTAAATAATACGTATCAAATGATAGTTTTGATTGAATACATTAATAAAGACAAAATCACTGAAGTGTTTGCATCTATCCGTGCAATTATCGATGAGCACGAGAAGATACTACAAGAAAAGATTGACAAAATCGACAGAAATAACAAAAAATTGACTGAAGGCTATCAAAATCAATTGTTGCTCAAAAAGAAGAAGCTAGATCATCATAGAGAAGAATTTGACTACATTATTTCGACGAAGGATCATGTAAAGCTACTGAAAGCAAATGAAACATTAGCCAACAGCATCAAAAAAACTGCTCAAGATTTGGAAAAATTGGAACCGCCTGTCATATCACCCAAGCATAATATTGACGGCATTGATGGCCTAGAAAAAGCTGTTGATGATGCCCTCAAACGTGTGACTAGTGTACAGAAACAGGGTAAATTGTTTATTAGTGTCCACATATGTTTAACATAGGCAACAACATCTAGAATTCTTTATAAGGAGAACCGATGTAAAGGTAGAAGAGGGTAGTTACTGTAACCTGCAAACGATCGGATGATGAATAACGAAACATTGATAGATCTCATTTCCTTTTCTTACTTTTTTTGCAATAAAAACAAAGTTAAAGGAAAAACCAAGAAAGTCATAAGACAGTAATGAACAAAGTTTGTATTCTACAACATAGATCTCGAATATTTTAATCGTGCCCCATGTTGAAATAACAGATTCGAATCATTGTTGAAAATTTTCACTATTGCATTCTTTACATATTCGACGATAATAGTCTGTTTGCAGTTATAAATTCATCTCATTTAAGTCGAAATACAGAATATAAAAAGTACCAATTGATTATGTATCGACTTCAGTGGAACCAAATTGCAGCAAAGATGAATGAAATAAAAAAGTGTATGCACTGCAGAGATAAAGAATTATTCATTTCAATAGAAACTGTCAGTTTCTCAAGAATACCTGTTAAATTTGAATTCACTTTAGTCAATGTTGACATCGATTCATAGACATAATAGTTAACGGTATCCAACAAAAATGAGTTATTGAAAAGATGGAAAATAATTAAAAACTGGAATGTAATTTTACATATATATTGAAATCCATAGTTCCACTAGGCATTGTGCTAGTCTCTTCTTAAAAGTTTTTTCGTTTCATGTCACTATTGACTATACTTCATCTAACAGTTTTTTTTTGAATAATAAATAAATACACGGTTTTGACTGCTATAGACAAATTTCAAAAAGCATTATTGAAAGCTAAGATTTTTAGCTACAATACAAAAGTTTAGTTTGTTTTTCTCTTTTCACAAATACTCATGAATGTGATGTGACACGATTGATATCGTTTTTATAAAGAAATAACAAAATAAAATTCCGTATAAAGACACAGATTTGAATGATTCAATAACTTGAAATAATTAAAAAACAAAATTCTATGTCATATTTTTTTTGAAAAAAGAGCACAATCTAAATTTTATATTTCGACTAAAGCTTTAAGCTTTTAAAATGCTTTTAAACTTTGTCTATAGAAATCAAACATCTTTGTATTTATCTATTATTCTAAAAAAAAAAGTTTTTTTTTAATCAAAATCTTCCAATTTTGATGAAGAAACAAAACTAATACAGAATAATATGTAAGTCTGTAATAAAGCCATTCAATCCAGAGATTTTTAAGAACTTGTTCAAAATTGATTTTTATGCAAGATTTTAAAGAAGAAAAACGACATTTTAATGCTCATATACATTTGTATCATGAAGTTACGCAGTCAAAGTCAACATTCTATGTAGAAAAAAAATAGTCAAAAAATCATTATAAAGTACTGAAGTTTGTTTTCTATAACTGAGAGCATATAAAACATTATAAATTTATCCCATATTTCATGAGAAGATAATATAAGACTCTGCATCTTATCTCAATAATATCAACGTGTGTCGAACACCATATGCTGCTATAGTTTTAGAACATATACTTGGAATTGTTGAGTTTCACTAATACTTTGTCTTTTTTCTAGATTTAGCTTATAGAATATATCACAATAAGACACTTTTATCAGTTTGATGCAAAGCTAAAATCATCAAGGATCTTGATGAAATTATTTTTGACTAAGTGTATCTTCATGAAACATGCTCATATTTTTTTAAAACTCATATTGGATATATTTGAGAAGAAGAAATATCATCGATAAACAAAGATAGCGCTGAGAACTGTTGGCAAAAAGTCAAAATTTTTGTTGCGTACTATAGTATTGGCAAAACCTTTTAAAAGATGCTATGAATTTCGCAAGTCAAAATATCATCATTGCTGAATATTTCGTCTTGGAAAGATTTGAGTATCCTATAGTATTGTAGTTCTCATTGAACTACCAGAAGAAAATCTTCTCAGCATTTGTTAGCTTCATACTTAATGAAAAGTTCATCGGACTATAATAATTTAGTTATCTGATGGAACACAGAAAGTTGAGTGTAAGTGCACGAGTAACAGATGAATATGTTGAATTGCTGATATGGGATTGATATAATATTAATACTTCAAATTTTTATAAATTTTTATTTGTTTCTAGAATACTCTGTAAAAAAGTCAGCATCAGCATCAACTGCATCAAAAACTGACGCTCGACTGGTAAATTAAATTAATATATGATTTTTAACTCTGAATGAACCTTTCTTATTTTTAGCATGTTAATCAAGTAAAATTTCACAATTATCCTTCAACTGTTTTACAACATGTAGTTATGCCTGCAAGCAATCTACAAATCAACGTTCGTCTTAAAAAAGAAACATATATTTAAAAAAAAAAGCAAATTTTTCTAAATATAGAATCTTTCATCTATTCCTCTTTTTCGACCACTGAATAAAAATATAAACAATTATCCATGTATATTTTCAACAAATGGATATTCGCAAGCATATCCACTAGATAACAGTAATTCCCCATCGGAATCAACTGTTTCTTCAAGTAAACCTCTTTCTAGTAAATTTCGTATTCATGATATGTAAATAAATTTCTTTTTGTACAATTTTATTAGCTGATCCAATATCGACAAGTTCTGCAACAGCACAGATCCCACCACTAATGTTTGTGAAAGTATCACTATTCCAACAACAATCATATGAGAATCCTACTTTACAAAAAGCAACACAACATACACCAGTGAAGGTTTTAGGAGATTTTACAAAGAAAAAACTTTCTTCTCTTGCTATTGTAGATTGATGACTTTTCTGCATCAACATCTCAGCCTTTAACTGCACAGAATATGAAACAATCGAATTCATGTGAATCAACAATATCAACAGTATCAACGCAAAAACGGCAAAGAAAGTCATTAGTTATTATTGACCCAGTATCAAATAAGCCAATTGAAATTCCTACACAATCAACAAATCTATCAACAATAGAATTATCATCGTCTACAAACATAGAAAATGAAAGATATTCAACGAAACCAACGACTATCAACTCAGTTGTATCTCATATAAAATTGACAGTTGATAACAGTGACAGATCAATTCAAGCTGATTGTTGATCAGAAATGTATAGCGAGCTGACTAATTCGTCCAAGACTCAAACAGATGAGGTATACTTGAAATTTTATTTTCTTCATCATAACAACATCATTAACTTTGCATTGATTCATAAATGAAAAGGAGAGATAACATAAATTTCTCAATTCTTTGATCAGCTAGTTTTATCAGAACATGTACCATGAAAGTTTCTACTAAAGCTTAATACTTCTAGAATACAGCTAGAAAAGAATGTTTGACAAAGGAGCAGATTGCAATCAATAGAGATCAATTTAATCTACTCAAAAATATTTTCATTTTCGTTCTAGTTATCTCAAAAACTCTGAATTTTTTCAGAGAAAATAGTTTAGAAAGTTTGTCTGTTTCTAAGTGTTGCTTATTTTCTCTATTTTTTATTTAATTAGTCTATGGATTCGATATCTGTAATGAATGAAGATATTAGTTCAAATCCGTTAGAATCTCAATCAGCATCAACAGTAAAGGCAAGAACATCATTAGAATGTGTTACACCACTACCATCAGCAATAATAAATAATGATAAATGTCAACCACAAGCAATGCAACAGTTAAAATATGATTGCAATGAACTTTTATGTATTCGTGATAATTCAGCAACATTTCCATTGCCGAAAAGTCTTTCTAATCTTCCAATTATTATTAATGAAGGCAATCAAAGCAAAATTGATGATAATAATCTAACCCTATGTGATGTTGAGTCAATACTAGATGAACTTACACCAGAAACATTTGGTGCATTGGCAACAAAACTGAGAAAATTAAAATTTGATTGTTATGAAAAATTAAAAGAAATCGTTGAGCTATTTTATTCCAAAGTAAATCATCTTTGTTAATTTTCATGTAATTTTATTAGAAATATTTGCTTTTCTCAGGGTGTTGATGAATCAGGATCTAGCTGTCTATATGCAAGATTATGTAAACAATTTAACAGAGTAAACTATGCATATTACGTACTTATATAATTAAATTAAAATAATTTTTTTTCTAGAGAACAGTTGCTGTTTCAAATGCACGCTGTCGAGAAAGCAGATATGGATTTCGTGGAGTATTAGTAAAACATTGTCAAAAGCAATACGACAATATTTGTAGAGAAGAAATTGAATATGAAAAACAAAAACTTGAAAGTGAAACTGTACTAAATGAAAAAAATGATAGAGACGCGACGAAGAAATTGGAAGAAGACTTTATTAAAATTAAACGAAGAAAGTTAAAACATCTTCTGTATGTATATTTATAAATTATAAGCTAATAGAAAAAATAATGAATATTCTGAATAGAGTTCAGAATAATACCGTCCACGAAGATATAATAACGGACTATTGACCGGTAACCGGTATAAAATACATCTCTGCTTCATAGTATGGTTTAGAAGCATTTATAAGATGTTGCGTTCAGATTCGCGCTTGAGTGAGGTTTATTCATCAAGATCGAGATCAAAATTTTTCAACTCGACGAACTCTAATATATGGACTTGAAATGTCTAGTAATGAAAAGTTTTATTTTAGATTTTAAGGAAGAAGATCATATCAGGCAGCAGACAAAGACAGTTATGCTACCGATGAGTCATATTGTTTTCAATAAAAAAAAAAGCCTAGATTTAAAAACAATTTTTTTTTGTCACTGCTCTGGTTTCAAGAATCATATTTGAGGATAGATTCGCATTCGACCTAAACAAAATGTCAAAAACTCGTGTTTAGATTAATAATGCGATTTTGTTTTTTATTATTTCTTCTCAATCTTAATGAGCAAAAGGTGATTTACTTCGGAGTCAATGCTTTTTGGAAGATGTTGATCTATAATCGTCTTCGATTTACTGGATCTTTTCATTAATGTAAAAATCAATTTGATTAATGATTTTTTTCCCATAAATGAAGATTCTAATGATATAATGTCGAAATTAAAGGTAGTATATCATTAAACGATATTTTTTTCTTTTAAAACAAATGTCTCATCATAGGTCTGATATTATCAGTAAGAAAATTTCTTGCATTCTTATGAAAATCTATCATAGAATTTTTATATTTTGAGTTTAATACGATATAAAATTAAAAAGAAAACCTATTTTTTATTTATTTTAGTTTTATTGGTAAATTATATAGATTTGGTATCATGTGGTCTTCTGTTGTGTTCGAGTATATTGAATATTTACTTCGTGATAAAAATGACGAAGAAAGTCTCGAATATTTACATCATTTGTTACGTACGACTGGTCAAAAACTTGAAGATGAAATGATTCCAACAGTATGAATATTTTCAAAAAGATAATCTCTATTTGACTCCCATCTGTTTTATTTTGTTTTTATTGTTTTAGGTACCAGAAAAATCCCGATTGGAAAAATACTATGGTCAATTGAATACTATTGTTAAAGAACACAAAATATCAGATCATATTTGTCGCATGATTAAAGATCTTATAGAATTAAGACAAGTGAGTGAACTCTGAGATACGATAAGCTACATTTAAGATGAATTGAACACCACTAAATAAGTTTTACTAAGGTACAAAGAAGTTTAAAACAACTGCTGATTATAGGTTTTTTTCTTCTTTACTTGATTATTTTAATGAAATATTGAACAAACTACCGTCTTTCTTTTCAGACCATCTGTAAAATTGACTTTACTATTCGAACATCGTATTAACTAGATTCTCAACAAATTGAATGAAAGTATCAGGCCAATTAATATCGAGTTTTGTAAGCAAAGATGTTCCCGGTGAATAGCGAGCTCCCCTCCAAATCTCGAAAATTCAGCGATTTCACAAGCAAATCTGGTTACATTTTCCTCGTGTTTTTGCTCGAATATTTCCATCGGACACCAATAAATTTGAGCCAGCATTTCTCAATCAGCCTGCTGAGTCGTCGGTCCCTCCCTCAATTTTTCTTAGCTCTGTATCAGAGATGTCCATCGCGGCGCTGCCGCTGCCGCGATGGCGGTGGCGGCAGATTTTTTAAAAATCATCGCGGCAGCGGCGCGGTAGCGGCAGGTTTTTTAAAAGACCATCGCGGCAGCGGCAGGATCTTTTTGGGGAACATTGAAAAACTGCATGAATTTAATAGAATTTCAGGGTTTACAAATGAAACACCCCGAGACTGAATGAATCTGATGGACTAGTACCAATATCTCTGGTCAAATATAGTCGCAGCAGTAAAATTAGAAACACTTTTTTGTAAACCGTCGCGGCACATTTATTTTATAATTCATCGCGGCAACGTTTTTTTTATAAGTCATCGCTGCGCGGTAGCACCGCGGCAACATTTTTTTATAAACCGTCGCGGCGCGGCTGCGGTGCGGCAGCGGCAGATTTTCAGCCACGATGGACATCTCTGCTCTGTATGTGTCTATTTGTGAGACATAGATAGGTGTGCACCAGTGCCAGTAACTGGGTCCGAGTCGGACTGGATACCCAGTCCGACTGGATACTTAGTCATTTGACGTTTATTTCGCTAATCTATCGGTACTTCCCTCTTTTCTAAGGATGTGGGTCTGGAGGTTGGTTTGACGTTGGTATGGGTGTCGTTATTGCCATTCTAACTATTCCCGCATCCAAAGGGTGTGGGTGTGGGTGTGGGGTGTGGGTGTAGGGTGTGGGCCACACCCTACACCCACACCCTAAATTACCTGGATTTTTTAAAGTTTTGACTATCTCCATACGACATTTACTTATACGCCCTGGGATGCCGATTAGGGGAATCTGGCCCAGTGGTTCAGAATCTGCCGCTAAAATGAAAATTTTCGACAGAAGACGAAATTGTCACGAAAACTTTTCCTCGCTATTAAGTGCAATTAAAGATTCTCTTGGAAAATTGTAAATTGTTCCCTGAGAGGAAAAAATAACGGATGTTGCATAATAAATGGTCCCTTTTGGTTTTTTATCTTTGAAGCATTTAACAAATCATTTTACATTTTTGGTTTTTATGCTAGTGAATAGAGAATTTAATTTTCTAGAAACTGTCGACTTTGTTTTTCGAATAGATTTTTTGCATCAGAGAGAAGGTATCGAGATTAACAGCTACTTCATCGTACAAGTCCGAAAATAAAAATGCCAAAAAGTTACAGAAAAGTTTTAGAAACAGATCTACTAGAATTTGAAATATGTTACCATGCTCTACACACTACATTCTGTATCTTTCGGTGTGACTTTCAAAGCGCTAGAACAAATACTTGGGAGAAAATTTTCGAAATGGAAAACATCAAAATACCGAAAGAAAACTGGTTCCAGTCGAATCTGAGCTATTGTTTTCGATTGATTCAAAGTAGCCTAAATGTTTCAACTATTTACGTGAATATATGAACGATTTTGTTCAGAATTCAATTGTGCATCCGATGGTACGGGAGTCAGCATTTTATTGGGCAATTCAGACTTGCGACAAGATAAATTTCCATAATGCATCCAAAAATACCTTGCGGTACCAGTTCGGAATTTCTTTTTCCTAAACAACATGCTCAAAGTCATTGTAAGGTTGTGAGCATGTATAGCGAAAAACTTTGCCATCTTTTAGTGTACAATGCTTTGTTTTGAGTAATGGCCTTGATGAGCACACGCTCATATGAATCCTTTTCTAACCGTAGAAAACTAAGCATTCGCAGTTTGACAGTTCAATAGGATTTAATTTCATAAAGTTTATGCTTGCATGAGAAATCGTTCCGAAAAACAAACTTTGCAGTTTTGTCGAGAATTAAATTCTCTATCCAACAAGAACAGAAGTAAAATTTGAACAACTATGAAATTTCTCAAAGATAGGTAATAAAATGCGATATTTACTATCAGGTACTCATTGCTTTTCAAAAAATACCCCTAAGTACTAATAAATCTCCTAAACTTTCTCCGAACTGTTGTTCACGCACTCAGGTAGATTCTGCACCTCTGATGTAGCCTCCCATCCGAAAATTGAAAAAGTTTGCAACTTTTTGGCAAAATTTCAAACACTTCGTACCTAAGTTTTGATCGTCCTGGTGGATTTTGAGAGAAGCCGGGTTTTATGTAGTACTTGCCACTCTTTTGAAAGAAAGTCAACTAAAACGGCTATTTGCCAAGAAGCAATGTTGTCACTAGGTGACTAGGATTGGAAGAGCACAGAGTGTAGGTGGTTGCAAGCCATCTGGCAACGAGAGAGGGCACCCACTTGCTCCTCCCTCGCCCTCTCCCTCCCACGGTCAACAAAAACTCACACGAAGGTAGTTTCTGCCAAAATTTTTCGACTTTCTACTAAGTTTTAGCCCTCTGCACCCTTGAAAAACATCGGGAACCATGCATACCCACATCCACACGAGTCTCTGTAATTTCGCCAATTGAGAATTTGACCAACAGTATGTTCGCCAATTGGCGAATTACTAGTGGATATTGGCCACTTGGCAAAAATACAATTGGCGAAAACAGGAATTGGCATTAAGATTTTACCCCCCATCCACACCCACATCTGCACCAATACTCACACCCACACGCACATCCACATCCGTACCCACATCCACACCCAACCACACCCACACCTACACCCATACCCACGCCCACACCCGCACGCACACCCGCATCCGTACCCACATCCACACTCAACCACACCCACATCCACACCCATACCCACATTCACACCCGCACGCACACCTACACCCACACCCACACCCACACGCACACCCGCATCCGTACCCACACCCACACCTAGCCACACCCACACGTAGCCACACCCACACGTACACCCACACCCACACCTACACCCGCACCCACACACACGTCCACACCCACATCTGCACCAACACTCACACCCACACCCACACCGGGGTGCTTCTGAGTATGAGTTCGTGCATGGCTTAAATCGACCAACTTCGCGCTACTATCCCTTTTTGTCGCGTCACCTTTTTCGTTTCTCAACTTCACGTCTTTCTCCAGAAAGTCATCTCGATGAGTTCCATGCGTAGTCATTCTTCAAGATACCATGCCATTTTATCTCCCTCTTCATTGTGTGACACTTTGAGTGGAATACAGACCTCTGTTTTGACGCAAACATTTTTAGAAGCCGATAAGGTTTTGCTTATCCAGTTGCAAGCACTTGCAACTGGATAAGCAAAACCTTATCACCCGCCAAAAACTTCCGCTTTCAAATGCTTGCGCAACGAAGTTTAAGCGCGTACAAGGCGCATAAAATGTGCGCTTGACAGCACTTTTAAGCGGAAAATCCAAGTTGATTTAAGCTAGCTTATTTGCTTAAATTTTTAAATGGATGGTGGATTGATTGCATTGATTTGACGTCATTATATGGCTAAAGTAAACGGTGTTCGTGTAATATATGCGTATCTTTCGGCGAAAACTGGATATTCGTTCGTTCTCTGCTCGATACACATACAAGGCATTTTGGTGTAATAATCAGGCTCTCATCTTTCATTCAATGTCACTGAATAAACTTTCTGTGTATAGTAAACGGAAGTGATCAAAAGCAAATATTGTTCGATAGGTGACATATATAAAGGCAACTTATTTTCTACAGGAATAAACTGAATCCCGTCATCTTCTGCTCACAAGGTAAGATTGACTTTCGATAGCACGACGTCTACAAGTTAGAAACATGCCGCTAGCAGTTATATGATAAATAATGCCACTCTCGGTATTCCACGAATATTTATCTTCGACACGTTTCACCTTTTGCTCTCGATTTCTTGCTGAAAAAGATACTGAATTTCATTCTGTACAAAATGATATACAAAGTTTTAGTCTAGCATAAGGCTGAAAAAGTATACTGTGAACATAATAAAATCCAAAAACGGCAGGCTGTATTCGTTTTAAGACTTTTAGCAGACAAATTTCGAGTTATAGAAGAACTAAATACGCCTTTTTTTGTAGCCATTCAAAACTCTATTGAATAGCGGCATTTTCACTTTGTTTCCTTAACAACAGCGGGAAGAACAGATTTTCATTTCCAGCTTTCGAGGTAAAATGGCCTTCGTTCAGAGCACTTTTGGGTCACTTCGTGAAACTCATGCGATCCGGTGATAAATCTAGTTCCACTCGTCAACATGTTTTATCTTGTACATATCTAGCTCTTCTATAATATCTGAGAACCAGAATGTGTCTACATTTTAGTGAGTAAGAGAAATATATAGTATTTTGCAATCGGCCCAGTTGCATAAGAGGGAAATCTGGGTTGTTGTAGTATCGCCTTATTCAGAAAACTCTTTACAATGCATCACAAAGAAAAATATACTTCAAAACATAGAGAAATGTAATAAACGAGGTTAGGCACCTCTCAATCTCGGTGAAGAAATAGAATTTCGCTTTTGAAAAGCGTAAAAAAGGCTGCGTTTTTGGATTTCAATAGTGTTCGCTCGGAATACTGCTTGTATTGTTTGTGAAGAATTGAACGAAAATCCTTTAAAAAACAAAGGATTATATATACTAAAAATGAGAAACCTTTATGAAAACCTAAGTGTGCCTGTCATGACGAGACACTCGTTCTA